GAAAGAGTGGTCAGGCACTGGAACAGGCTGCTTAGGGAGGTGGTGGTGGAGTAACCATGCTTGGAGGTATCTGAAAAACGTGTAGATGTGGCACTTCGGGATGTGGTTGAGCAGGCGTGGTGGTGTTGGGTGGATGGTTGGGCTCGATGATCTTAGAGGTCTTTTCCAACTGTAATGATTCTATGATTCTATTCTGTGATTCTATGGTTAATGAGTCTGCCTGAATCTGAAACTAATTAATTTTTCTCTGGAAGACTTGCAGTCATTTATAGCGCTGTTGCATTTGCTGTTACCGAATGGATTTGAGGACTGAGTAATAATTTTACGTGATCATGGATCTGAGAGGGAGAAATATTTACTAGATTGCAAAGTGTGAACCTACACATACAGAAAGGAATTGATTCTGGTAGCTCTAGGAAATAGAACGTGGAATAATGGAATGAAGATAAGGTGGGGAGAAGTGGGGTGCAGAGCAGTCTTGGGAAAGAAGCTGTAGAAACCCTGTCTGCTGGGGTTTGTTGCCCTCTGAGGAGCGAAGGTGCCTGTTCGAGCAGCCTGGCCGAGCGAGGGTTTCGGATGCGGGGAGCTAGGTGGGCCTCTCCCTCTGCTCCTGTTTCTGCCACGGCCTCTGCAGTGCTCGGAACACCGGGCATCACAACCAAGGGTGTCAGATGTGCCCCGGTGTCCAGACAGCCCAGAGGTGGCCTTCGGCCGAGCGCTTTGTGAGGGAGGAGTGGAGGGCGAAGCTTCGGTCACGCAGCGACCGTCTGTGAGGTGCAGCAGTGGCACGTGTGGCCGATTCCTGTGCAGATCCACTGTTACACTGCGAAGTGCTGCCCAGCTGGTCGCTCCCGGAGAACATCCCATTTCAGAACGTGGTTGCCAGAAAGCCCAGTAGGCAGGAGCTGTGTGGGTGCCTTGGTGAGGTGACCGCTGGTGTCGCGGTGGGATTGCCAGGGCTGGCAGCGGCGTGTTGGCGCCGGGTGGGGAAATAGCTGCGTGTGGGAGTTCGATGCAGATTTGCCATCACTTGACTCTTCACAGCTCTGAGTTGTTTGTGACAAATCCGAGCTCCGAACATTTGCTGTGGGGGAGAATGACGAGCAGCGTGAGTTTCCCCTTGGACGCGATGCGCTGCGTACGGCCGCTCGGGGCGTTTCCGGAGCAGGGCAGTGCATCGCTTCTGTTGCGCACATCATCTTCCTTCTAAGTTACTTCAGTGACACCACTGCTGGCTGCAACCGGTGGGACACATCCTGCGGCCGCCAGTGAGCGTCAGCCGAGGAGCACAGTCAGAAAGGATTTCTGTTTTGGCTTGGCTCCACAGCGTCTTTTTGAAGAAGAGGACAAACTTCTCAGAGGGGGCGGAGGGGGCAAAACCCATAAGGAAACGATATTATACTAATTCCAGGTTAGGTATGTTTTTAAAATGAGGAAATCTCTTGCATCTACAGTTAAGGTGCTGCTTTTGTGGTGTTTCTCAGTATAGTAAGGACGCTGAAAGCACCTCTTGCCAAAGTAAATGTTGTTCCTCAATCATCGGTCTGGCGTTTCGAGAGGTGGAGAAGTTCCTGGCACGGTAACGGAGCGCTTTGTTGGGCTGCGGCCTGACCTCCTCTGGAAACTCTCGCGGCGGCCTTGCCTGGAAGGAGCAGCAGCACTGCAGTCGTTCGCCTTGGAACTGGCGCTTTTTTCCCCAGTGGCGGACGCGGGGCTTGGCGTGGCCACACGGTGCCCGGGGTTTCCGCCTTGGTGCGTGGTGGCGGGGCAGGAGCGTGCAGCCGTCGGTGTCAGTGAACGCCTGCCTGCCTACAGCGTGGGGCAAGCCATGGCCTGCCTGCACGTGATTTTATTACTGCTGAAAATGTTTTCAGCGTTCCCCTTTTCGTTTCACTCTCCAGCTTCAAAGGGGGCTTAGCCCAGCGGGAGAAGCGCTGGAGCACATAGCGAGGTTGGAGTTCAGTTCATGTCCCTGCCAAAGATCTCCTCTGTGGCGTGCAGCAAGTCGTGGCACGTGGAACCATCTCCTCTGCCGTGACACAGAGATCGCGGTACTGCCCTGCCCTGGGGGAAGAGAGATCAGCAGTTTATCATGATACGACAACGCGCAGCAGCTAGGGACACCCGTAACCGTCCCATCGCGCTCTTCCTCCCTCCTGTGCCTCTTCTGCCAGGCTGCCAGGCTGTGGGTCATCCCTCGCGTGGGTGGCTGCAGGGAGCTCTGTGGCCCACCTCTGTTCGCTTGCTGGGCGAGGTGATGCGTGCCTGGACTGCGGCCCGGCAGCTTCAAAAAGAGCAAGAAGGAGGACCCAGGGAACTACAGGTCGGTCAGCCTCACCTCTATCCCGGGAAAGGTGATGGAGCAGCTTATCCTGGAGGTCATCATGAAGCAAGTGGAGGAAAAGAAGGTTATCAGGAGTAGTCAGCATGGATTCACCAAGGGGAAATCATGCCTGACCAATCTGATAGCTTTCTACAATGACATGACTGGCTGGGTAGA